TCTCTCTCTCTCTCTCTTTCTCTCTCTCTCTCACGCACGTGCGCAAGCGCGGATTAATAATTAAATTTTCTGCTCATATCGCTCCTATCAGATCCCCCCGCCGGGACGGGATGACCCAGCAGTCTGCAGTGTGGTTTACGCCCCAGCGACCGTATTGGTCTGACCCTTCCTCTCCCGAGCCAGTCGTCCGCCGACTATAGTCGGGGAGTGAGTGGAAACTGGAGCAAATCTACTGTTATATAAGTGAACAGATCAGAGCACCTGATTTTAAATGAATAGCTCAGATATAGAGACCATTTGCCTGAAATTTTGATATAGAAACTGTAATTTTTCTTTAAAAAATTTCAAAGATAGTTTGTGTTGGAAAACTGAGCACTACTTGGTTATCATTGAATCCCTAAACTCCAAAACTTGTTCTGAGTTGTTTTTTTTTTTGTTGTTTTCATCAATGAGGCCCAGACGAGACGAGTCCACAGGTGGTAGGGGCAAGCGAGGGCCGCAACGTTTGGTCTTCCCTGGTCTTCCCTTGGGTTTTTCGGGGGGACTTGTGCTACTTGGAACTCTTCACCTTTCATGTTTTCTTTTTTTGAGTTTTCGGTGAAACGCCGAGTCGTCGTAGGTGCAGCAGACCCCTCCTCGCCAGGTGGCGCAATCGTGTCGGGCGACGCGCCGGTTTGTGCGACGCACCGTGGCGTTCTGCTGCAGCTTGCTGTTGGTCCCGGGGACTAGGAGGGGGGGGGGGTTCAAAGTGAAGGGGGCTGTGGTCTGTACGGCACAACTTGTGCACTCGGGACTGTTTGCAGAGCTAAGACCCCAGCCCGCCTCGCCAGCTGAGGACCAAGTTTTGCGCACGCCGGGTACCCCCCACCCCTCCGGCGGGCTTTGGGCTGGGGGGGGGCAGTGTTTTCGCTGGGTGGCATTTGCCTTGCCCGAGCGAACGGTCGGGGCGACGGTCACCCGCCTCGGTTACTTGCTCGGCTCCCGGAAAGCCTCCAGGCGGCCCAGGTACCACAGGAGCTCCCAAAGCGTTTACTTTAATACACTGTACTTGTGTCTCCAGCTACAGTGGACTCTCGATAACTGTCGCCTCGATAACTGTCGCGTGCGAGAGAGATAGCTATAGAAAAATAGCGCGTTCCATGCGGACTGACTGCCG